AAGTTTTGATTGATGAAAGTAGTAAATCGGTCAGATTTGACCCGAAAACAACAGGAGGGATAAGAAGCTGTTTTTGAAGGCAGCTTTAGGCACCAGGTGATACAGAAGGTATTTATTTGTATGAAGGAGAGATTGGCAACGGAAAGAGCTATGTTTTTTTTTATCAGGGCAAGAGAGGAGGAAAAGGCATTCATTATATGTTTGGTTTGAGAGTCTGTGTCTTTGTTGACCATCATCTGGACTACATTACACTTTGTCAAGGACTTTAAGTAGGTTCATGATTTGATAAAAGGATGGTCTTATTTTCCCCAATAGGAAATACAATGCTCCTGACAGACAATATAATACATCATTAGAAATGGACACCACAATACAGAGAAGGATGAGGACCAAATATTAGAAAACCAATGTAGTATTTTTACTCTGTACTTTGTGTTTAGTGCTGCTTAGAAAATGTTAGCATGCTTCACGCTAAACTAAGGATGTTAACCCAGTAAATATTAGCTGCTAATTATTTGCATGTTTCCTTTTAAATTGTCATTAAGTCCAAGTATCTCTAAATGTTACATGTTCATGAGCACATACTGCACAACAACTCACCCTCGTTGAAAGGTTCCCACTCGTACTGTCTGCCCATGAAAGGTTTGTTGTTGTATGAAGAACACTGAACAGCCCGGATGTGTTTGCTGGATGGAGGGCAGGCCTGATGAAGGCACACACACACACACACACACACACACACACACACACACACACACACACACACACACACACACACACACACACACACACACACACACACACACACACACACAGTTGTAATCCTGTGATGGAGCTCCGTTTTCCTGCCAAAGGTCTTTAGATTACAATATGTATAAAGGCTTGTCACTCGGACATCCCGCTATATCTCCTTTGTGTAAACAAGCCGCGGGTCTGCTTTACTTTGCTTGAACATCTCTGTCATCGCAGAGCGGAGACAATTTACAGAACCAGACACTGTTTGAATTTACTTCAATGCACAGGGTGGATTCCCTAAAGTCAGATCAGATAAGCAGAGCCAGCACACACTTTACAGCTGCTGTGCCCCTGATAAGGTTTGCTAAAGACTTCAGGTTCTCCCATATAAAGAGACCCAGTTGAAAATATTTAGTGTAAGTATTAAATGCATTTTAATCCTAACAAATGTTTGTATTTTGGACAAAAGGGAGATCTATCTATCAGAGAAATATTAATAGAATCTACTGGAAGGTGAAAACCACCCCTCAGGTTGCATTGCTAGTCAGTCCAGAATGACCTGAAACCCCACAATGCCTTGCAAAGCGCTGCATAGCAACACCTGCAGTGGGTCTTAACTGTAAACTGTCTTGCTGTGGCCCCACAAGCAACAATTATACACTTTAGTAAATGTACTGTTGAAAAAACGATTGTCTATTTCTAATATTTCTATCTTTAGCTCATTGTGCTTATTTTAAATGCCAATGGCCAACATGCTAAGAATACGTACACAAGCACACAAGCACACACTTTCCTGTGTTTTTCAAATAAATATGATTTGATACTTTTAGAATGTCTTATTCTAATAACTTGCATACATTTGGAAGTCATATTAAGTGTGAATGTTGCACTGCTGGCAGGGCGTGGGGCATTCATTTTTCATTTCCATTGCCAACAACTACACGGCTGCTTTTTTTTCGTGGCAATAAAACCGTTGAATCATAAATTCAAGATTCAAGACTTTTATTGTCATGTGTGCATAGCTACAGTGTCCCAGGCTCCTCCAACAGAGCAACACTCAATAAAACAGATCAAGTGCAAGTAAATACAAATTTGAGGCGGCAGTGGCTCAGTCTGTAGGGACTTGGTCTTGGAACCGAAGCCGATTGGACCAAAACAAAATAATAATAATGGAGTGAGCTGGTAGCTGGAGAGGTGCCTGTTCACCTCCTAGGCCACTGCCGAGGTGCCCTTGAGCAAGGCACCTAACCTCAAAACTGCTAAACACAACAGAGTGGAGAAACGTCTTCTGAAATAGTGCAAGAAGAGTCTAAATACAAGTAATGTTAAATGTTCATACGTTGCTGTTGCAGACCCTGTGGTGCGCCTGCTCCCCGCTGCAGGAGGAGCCGGGCAGGGGGCTGTAGGGTCTCTCCGGGGGGGCTCCAGAGGTCTGGAGGCTGGATCCGGGCCCCTGCTGGTCCTGAGTCTGGGGGCCAGAGCCCGGCTGGTAGAGGGGGGCCCAGACCTGGTTATTCCTGGGTGGCATGAAGGGTCTGCTGGGGTGATGGAGGCTGCTTGAGGGGTCCTGGTTGTGGTCTGCTGTGGGGGGTTGGTGCTGGTACTGGTGTTGTTGTTGTTGTTGGTGCTGTTGTTGTTGTTGATGCCGGTGACGGGCTTCAGCTGCAGGGGAGCGTCTCTGTCTGTGAGGGCGAGTCGTCTCTGAGCTCCGACCCGCGTGCGTCTGCTGGGGAGCAACATGAGGAGCCGACCCGTAGCCGTATCGCCCCGGGACGATGTGAGGGACCCTCCTGAAGACACACACACACACACACACACACACACACACACACACACACACACACACACACACACACACACACACACACACACACACACACA